GAGTGAGTTGAAAAATGGGAAAAGGGTGAAATCCAAGGACAGAAAAGGAAAGAACAGAATTTGAGATGCAGCATAAACATTAGCCCAAACTCTGGTTGCAAAAATAGGAAACTGAGTCACAGGGGTGAAGTGGCTTTTCCACAAGGGAGAGAGAGAATGACACTGAGCCTGGCACTTCTGAGACACAGGCTCTTGGAGAGTTGGTTCAGTGATGTCCCTAGAAAACACCACCAATTTCCAGTAATCCTGCAGTCACTAGGCAGGACGCACTGATTTGTGCTTGTACGGCAATATTTAATCCTGGAGGGGCAACAGAAGAGTTTGGTCCCTTCACTGATGTGCCCACTTGTCCATCAAACCCTACTGATAGCATTCAGAGTACCTGTGCCCTGAATGTTCTTTGGTGCCAGAGGAAACATTAATGAGCATTCAGAGTGTCACTTCACCTGGCCCCAGACGAGCTTTGCAGGCTCACTAATGTTCCACAAGCACAGGGGAAAACCTGGGGTGAGGCAGGTTTTCAGGCTGATCTTGAAAGTCATGGTCAACGGAGCCTGGCTTTCCTGGGCGGGTTCCTGCTGGATTTACCTTGAGGCAATCCAGGAGACACTGACTGAATGTGCTCTTATCTCTCCCCAAATCCAGTATGCACTCCTAGATTATGGATTAGAGCAGATGGGAATGCCTGTCCCCATCTGGACTTCCTTCTTCTCTTCCCTTTCAGAGACCGACTACACAGAAAACTAAAATGATGTTTTTGAGGACTTCCTATGTATCAGGCATTGTGTCTGTGTTGTTTGTTTTTCCCAACAACAGGTCCATGAGGAAAATCTCATCATCTGCATTTCAGAGGAGGAAACAGGCACATGTCTAAGTTAGTGCTTTTGTGTTTTCTAAGGTCTTTTGTCTAGGACTTTGCCAACAGAGGATCCAAAGCAGATACTTTTGGCTCCAAAGTCAACTTCCTGCACCAGCATTTCTCTGATTCACCCGTGTCACCTTGGAACTTGTCAGAAATGTAAATTCTTGGGCCCATCCCAGATAATGCTGCCTCAGAGCCTTGGGGCTGGGCTCAGCAATCCTGCTCTAATGAGCCAGGTCATTGTAATCCCACCAACACCTATGCTTTACTTCCTGCCCCTCTGTTGAGTTACCTAATTGTGAAAGCAGAAAATCCACAATCTTCTCCCTTCCCATGGGTTCCTTTACAGTGTTGTTTCCTGACTCCAATTTGTCATATTAGTTTCCGGTCGTGTGTGTGTGTGTGTGTGTTTGTTATTCAAAGAAAAACACAGCAAGTTTTCAACATTATAAATTTAGTCAGTGTAGATAGTTGTAAAAATCTAGACTTACTTGAATAAATAGTTGCAAATGGTCCTATGTCCCTTTGCCTTTGAGGAGGTCCAGGGAAAGTCCCTCATAGGCACTTGAGAAGCGCCCGCATCCTGCCATCAAGGAATGGAGGTTCCAAAGCTGTCTAGCTCTGTTCTCCTATGAAGCAGCACACAGGGCCATGTACAGAGCCCTTGGCCTCTGGGCAGGAAGGAGCTGCAGCAGATGGTTTTCAACTCGGATGCTGCAAAAGCCCTGATGAAATTCTGCTGCTGGCCATAGTATGGTGTGATCCCTACATGTCCCCTGAATCCTCCTTTTCTCATCACTGGAGGGAGACGAAGGCAAACACGTTTTCCATGGGATCATCAACCGTCTTCTGAAACAGTAAATGATAATCACAAATTCTGCTTTTATTCTTTAAGTTTTCTCATACTTGATTCTCTCTCAAGACAGGCACTGCATTTAGGGAAACCTGAATCATGCAGCCCTCATACTGACACCTCTACCAAGAAAGAATTTCCCCCAACTGTTTCATTGCGCTCTCTCTCGCTCTCTCTCTCTCTCTCTCTCTCTCTCTCTCTCTCCCCATATACATATATAATACATAACATAATAGATATACATATGACAATACACAAGCCGAACAGTGACAAATTTGGCTATCCTGCAACATACTACAATCTCTAAGATTTTCACACATGTACAGCTTTGCTAGCTAATTAGCATTCTCATTTGGGCATTTTTCTAAAAATCCATATTTATCTTAAGCATCATACTCACATTTTCTGTCCCCTCCTAGGGTGATTTCGCTTAACATGTGCTGGTCCTCTTCCCTTGCAGCATCTTTCAGATGTGTATGCTGCCACTTTGTGACCCAGTCTTCCTTCAGGTGTCTGATTTGGGGGAAGTCTTTATCCTTTTTAAAGTGTCAGGATGTCTTTGCTTTTAATCACTGTCCTCCTCAACTCTCTCCCCACTCCTGAGGGCAATAATATTTCTAATGCAGCTTAGCCAGGATCCAGAGGCCGTGCAGTACGTCACGCCTAGGCTGGGAAATGAAGTCAAATCCCTAGTGCAGATGTGCACTGAGCCAGGCCTGAAGACCCTCGAGGAGAAGGGCCACAGAGCGGCCCACCTTCCTTCACGGCTGTGATCCCACTGGGGCAGGAGTACTCTAACAAGAGGAATGAGAATTCTAATAGGTCTCAAGCTTTCACAACCATTTAAAAGTCAAAAGGGAAAAACCGCCTCTGGTAACATAACAATAGGCGTTATATGTGGCCGGATCACAAGAAGGTTTTCAGAACACCATGTGCAGTGGGGGCTGGAGTGGGTGTCTTTCAAAAACCCCAGAGGAACCCCATATCAGATAGGAGAGGAGACCCAAGGACCAATTTCACTGCAAACCCTAAACAAGAAAAGCTGGGCACTAGATGGCAGCAGTGCCCCATGATTTCTCCCACAGCAAGCTGGTCTTGATATCCAGGGGAGGGGGTCGTAACACTACACACAAACACAACCATGTTACCGAATCAACCTTCTCATCTGGCAGATGCTTTCCACTCTCCTCAAACTTATGATCAAGGGACAGCTCACCACGGATTATGGCAACATCCTAATATGTGATATGGCCAAAAATAAATGGTTCCCTTATTTGTTGATGACAGGAATCAGGGTCTTTGTACTCTGGAGAAAGAAGGTGGCTAAAGAAGGTTTCGAAGCAAATCCCCATGAAGGGTGACTTCAACCTAGTGCCTGTCACAGCTACGTGTGAATATGTTTGATTTCCCAAGTAACATTCAGTGGTCCTGATTGGGATCCTAATAACCTGAAATTCACCTGATTCCAAGCCTAGGATGGTAAGATTTTGAAAACGTTTTTTAATGGCAGAAATATTTCTTGGTGACATGAGTCATTAGGAATGGCAGTGCAGAAACAGGACACTGTTTCTCAGAGGCAGCTCTTTAGCTCCCGAAGGAGATCAATGCCTTCTGACAAGGAGCTCCAAGCAGACCATGGGAGCACTTACTGGGTCTAAAGAAGCATCTTTGCTCAGGTACCCAGCTACAGATGGCCTCTGAGGTCTGATTTAAAATCACAGAGGGGGGGCCCTCTCCTCTCCATGCCCGGCTGGTTGTTAAGACCAGGACCCATGGCTTTCCAGCAGGAACTCCCATTTTATTGAGCTGTTCTGTCTTCTTAGACCCCCTCCAGAGACAATCAAGACAAAATAGGACTCTGCCCTTGGAAAATCCAAGTTATTTCTAGGATTGCCTCTCTCAGAGAAGCCAGTCGGGCACCTCATACTTAGGAGCTCTGTAAATATGAGAGAAGAGTCTTATTGGTGGTGTGTCCCATTGCTCTGGCAGGTTGTAAGCAGACTCAGGAAATCCTGCTTTGGTGCTCCCACTTCTAGAGTGCAGTCCCCCATTTCTGGATTTATCATCACATTTTTAGGCAGTCTAGAGAACAGCACCAGGGCCAGGAAGGGTCTAAGAAATCTACAGAAGAAATATGACACATTATGATTCTGTCAATCTATTTAATCTCCAAGACTGACTAGACCAAATGCAGGTGTAATTGAGTGGTGTCCAGATGGTGATAGCAGGCTCCCTGTTCCAGCCTGATGTGGCTCCAGGGACCAGTGTGTAGCTGGTATGTTACTGTGCTTCCAGAGAGGGTTATGATCCTCCTCACCAAGGTGTGGCTTCACCTTCCTCTCTTGCCAATCCTCTGAAATTACCTAAACCTTTTGATTAACAAGGAGGAATCCTTGAAATGCCCCTTGTGGAAATTACCACTCACCTGAGGTTTCTATTTTCCCATTACCTCACCACCTTTCCCTGAAAGTCTTGCCTTTTGCAAGTCCTGGAGCTTGCATGAGATCTCCTGCATCTGGGGAGCTGGGTGAAATGCAGCTCCTGGCATCAAACACTGCTGTCTCAGAGTGGCTTCTCTCTGCCTGCTCCATCCCTTTGCACAATCAGAAGAAGATCTGCCTTTCTTTCTGCCGTCCTTCCCCAACACTTAATGTGATCTTGGGTTTCACTGGAGTATGTCTACATGGCAGCTCTCACACCCAGACCAGGGTGTCAATTTCAGAAGCTCTTCCTCATTTTAAATTTCACTTGGATCTGAATCCTGTGCATGGGTAACCCTAACACAACTCAAAGTAAGGAACTGGGAAAATATAACTCCCTGTAAATAGTCACCTGCTACAGACTATTTCCAAAATAAAATAAAAATATATACGTTTTTTTCCCTGGGATCAGAGCTGTGCCCTTTTCATTCCACCTGCATTTCCTTCTTAAGTTACACAGGGGGCTTCGCTCTGGTCAGCTACGAAAGCGAGATCAATAGATGGAGGCCAGCCAGCCTCTGCCCCCTCAGAGCCCTCGGGTTTGCTGGAGTTGCCAATACATGGTTTCTCCCCCGTGCGCGGCGTGGGCTTCCCCCACCCGAGGGCCCAACAAGTCTCCTCTCTCCAGCCTGCGCTCTGACGCGCCGCAGGCCGAATGGAGCGCAGCACTGTGCGGGGAGCCTGAGGGCCCAGGCTGGGCTCTGTCTGGGATTGCGCCGAGCCCAGCCCCGTTCCCCTCTCTGTGGGTAGGGATGGTTGAGTCCAGCCGCCACGGCAGCGGCTCCTTGCGCCGCTAGCAGCCTGTCTTCTGCGCTCTCCGCCTTTTTCTCTCTCGCCTGGATTTCTCCTCCCCCCGCGCCCCTCCCGCATCTCCCACTCGCTGGCTCTCTCTCCAGCTGCCTCCTCTCCAGGTCTCTCCTGGCTGCGCGCGCTCCTCTCCCCGCCTCGCCCCCTCCCGCAGCCTCGCCGCCTTGGTGCCTTCCTGCCCGGCTCGGCCAGCGCTCGTCCCCGGACCCGGCCCCGCCATCCCGGGTCTCCGCTCTGAGCAGCTCAGCCCTGCAGAGGCTCGGGACTCGATGCTATGAAAGGGAAGCGAGCCGGGCGCCCAGACCTGCAGGAGGCGTCGGATGCGCGGCCGGTCTCAGGACCGGGATCTCTCCGGCTCGCCTTGCCCTCTGGTGATTATTTGGCTCTGTTCATCGCCCTGCCGTTCCTCGGAGGAGACGGGCGCATCTGAGAAGAGCCATCGGTGTCTTGTGCGTGTGGAATATCTGCAGACATGACTGCGTGGAGGGAATTCAAGTCGCTGCTCCGGCTTCTGGCGCTGGTGGTTCTGTGTGCGGGGCTCCTCGCTGCAGCTAAGGGTAAGAGGCTGGATCGGTATCGGGGGAAACCGCCGAACCCTCGGAGGCCCGGTTTGCGAACGCAAGTGTCTGTTCTGGGCATGGCAGGGTACGGAGCAGCCGGCACGGCCCGGTGGCTCTCCATCGCCGACGCTGGGGGAACGCGATGCCTGGGATGAGCTTCCATCGCCCTCTTCCCAACCCTCGTCTGCTCCCGCCCCACCCCCGCCTTTCCTTCCTCTCACTTGGGCTCAAAGGAGATGCTTCTCTGTTCTCGGTTGTGAGCATTGTCAGGGAGAAAGGAGCCAAGCACGAGTTGGGCTGGAACAGCGCTGTGGCTCCTCGGAGATGTGGGCATGGTGGGTCGGGTGCTGGGACTTTCTCCCCGGACGAGGGCACCTGGGAGAGCGGCCCGGGCAAAGTCGTCGGCCTTGCTAGTTGGGTTCTCTACAGGGGTTTGGGTTCAGACAGGCACAGCTCCTGCCAGCCGGCTTCCTCGCACCTTAAACCCCTTCCCCTCCTCACCCCCGCTCCAGCTTACTCAAGGAGCCACAGTAGCCGCCTCTGTGAGGTCGCCCCCTCTTCTTCTCCCCCGGACTTTGCTCCTTGCAAGTTGCCAGGCGCCGGCGAGGTGGCGGAAGCAGGCAGGGAGTTGTGGCCGGGCTTCCACCCGATGTCTTCACTGTGCACAGGGTTAGCCCCCCTCCCCGCATCCGCTGGGAGAAGGGGTCCCTCTGGGTGCTTCCTGGGGCTCCTGGCTCTGTGAACTTGGTTTTCTCCTTGAAATGAGTTGGGAATGCTTTGCCCTAAGGAGCCTACAGGCTGCACACCGCTGGGCTGGCAACAGCTTGTGCACTTGTCTGTTCTGTGGGAAGGAAACCGAGAGCAGAGGATGAATATGAATATCGATTGATTTTCACATTGGAAAGTAGCTGCCCCGTTTCCTCATTTTCACCCTCCTTGGATGCTTCCCTTGTCAATCAACACCCCCATCGTCTTGCTCCTGCAAATATGTATATCTACACAGATTTTTTTTTTTCTTTTTAAAGGATAGAATCGAATCTTGTTAAAAAATTTTTTTGACGATCATTTGCTTGTTCCCCACACGAAATTACCCTTTCCTCTCCAGACTTTTCCATATTCTCCTTCCCCATTTTTGATTCTTCCAGTGGGCCAGATTCAAGGGTGATTGAAAAGGCGAAGGAGGACTCTTCTGCTCCGTGAAACTCCAGACCGGCCTGGAGAGAGGAGGAGAGAATTGCAGGCGGGCTTCTGCTCTCGGTGCTTTTCTCCCCTTTGCGTTCAGGGCTGGGGCAGAGCTGGACTTCCGCGCCAGCAGCCGCTCCAAACAAGCATCTGCCCTCACAAAGGGTGTCTGCGGGATGCACCCCAAGACCCCGGGGAGATGAATGGTGAATCTTAGTCGTCCGAGTTCCTGGTCCCTGGGATTGGGAGCTTCCCGCGCCCTCTGCCCACCTGCCCTGTGTGGCCAAGAGGTCCTGTCTTGTCTACTGCCGCGGGACCCACCAGCCACCCAGGCACCATCCGCCAAGCAGGGCCAGCTGGCAGTAGCCTCTGGTCTCACTGGTCCAGCTGGGAACTGAGAGGGAAGCAGGAAAAGTCGAGGGCAAACAGGGCTGCATCCTGGGAGGTGTGCGTGGTTATGTGTCGCTGGGAGAAGTAGCTTGGGTCAGGGGCATAGGAGCTGGTATTGCCCAAATCAGCCCTTGGTGGAGAGGAAACACCTGCCAGGCAACTCTGTAAAACTTCCCGCCCTTTCCCCGCACCAGAGGCCCATCCAGGCCTCGGGCTTTCTTTCTTGGAGGCTGGCAACTCGGCCTCTGAGCGCATTCTCGGTTCCCCTGAGTTCCGCTCACTTGGATCTCCCTTCCCCCGCAATTAGCAGAGGTTGCTGCGTGGAGACAGCAGCGGCCCTGGCTCGCCTGCTTAATAATCCGCACACGTGTGTGCCGGGCGGATTCCACCCCCACGCGGGTGGGCTGCCGCGCTGGGCTTAGGCGGAGGCGGAAGGGAGGCTGTGGAGGGGGCTGCTTTGGCTGATCCTGAGGTGAACAGGGAAGAGGGGGCACAAAGTCCTGGTCGCCCCAGAGCCTGCAGGGGCAGCCCCAGAGAGGAGAGTGCCTCCTGTGCGCTGAGGACCATACATCCTGGTAGTAGAAGCCAAGAAGTAGAGCCCAAGCCCAAGGTCCCAGGCCCCTGCGTGTGTGTGTGTGTGTGTGTGTGTGTGTACACGCGCGCGTGCGCGCGCGCAAAGAGGACCTGGACGCTGGGTTGCGAGCTCACTGCGCTATTGTCTGGCCCACGCGGCGGTGGTTGCGCGCCGCTTGTTCATTAACCCCCGCGGGGCCAGGGCCGCATCTCCTCTGCACCCGCGAGGTCAAGAGCGCTTGGGGCCGCGCGGGAGGAAACTGCAGCCAAGCAGGACGCTGTGACGCCGGCTCCCGAGCCGCTGTTTGTGCGCTTGGGCAACTGGGGCGGGGTCCCATTCCCCCAGTTCCAAGAAAAGACCTGGTGGCGAAGGTCGGGCCTCTGGCCGCGGAGCTAGCCACTTGGTTCTAGGGCTTGGCTGCTGGGAATCGGTCGCCTCGGAGGCGCCTGCGCGCAGTAGGGTTTTCCCTGGGAGGAGCGCTCTGGCGGAGGGCGCGGGCCACGGCCGCGGGCAGCTGCGCCGCGCGCGCCCGGGCGGCCGCTTGCACTGTGGCGAAGGCAAGCGCGGAGTATTTGATGCGTGGGGCGTAATTCGTGACCTGTTTGCCGAGTCGTGAGAAGCTGGAGGCGGCAGCAGTTGAGGTCATTGGAACCCGTTACCCTTGGAGAACTGGCTTTAGTTATCTGTACTCCTCAGTGAACCGTTGAGCAATTCACGGTGATTTTCATTTTCTTTCTGATTACTAACGGCATTGTAAAGGTTGAACCCCAAGAGTGCGCGTCTGCTTAGAAGCAACACATTTTCAGGCATCACAGCAAATGAGGAAGGCTTTCAGCGTTTTCATGTAGTAAATAGGTGGATTGGCTTATTCTGTGAGCACTCGCTCAGATCTGCGTCCTTGATCCCAGCTGATCTCCCCGGTGTCTGGGCAAAGTTTCTTTCTCAACCTTTTCCTGCATGTGTGCAGCCAGGAGAATGCAGGCATTTGCAAGCGTTACTCTGGAAAGCACCCTAAGATACAGCTCAAGGAAGACTAGCCCAAGGCAGCCTCACCTGGGCAAGGCCCGAAGAGCAAGGTGGGGGATGCTCAGGTATTGCTAACATTCGCGCACCGAGCCAAGGAATTTCAAGGCACACCTTGCTGAATTTCCACAGAAAACATGTAACCGAACAGCGAAGAAGAAATGCCCTCCCAAACCTGGAGGCTTCTAGATGCGTTCCCTTTTAAAAACTTAATACTACCAAAAGGACACTAGGAATTTTAATTTGCTTGCCAATTCATTTACAGTAGGACCACACCTCTTCTCTGTTTTGTAAGGAAGACAGGAAGCTCCTGTGAATAACCCCCCCCCCAAAAAAAAAAAAATCCATCTTTCCCTAAAGAGGTGAAGCCCTTAAAATGCAGGTATTGTCTCTGTATTCATGATTTCTTTAGCAAATCAACTTTTAAAAATGGTCAAGTTTATTACATTTTTCAAAACTCAGACAATTTAATCAAAAGTTTTGGGAGACTTCTAGGGTACCCACTTAGTTGATAGTTTGTGATTTTAAGTGTCCAAATAAGTAAACAAAAGAGTTTTTTTTTTCTTTTTCAGATGTGACAGGTCTTCTAAACTTGAATACTAGGATGATGAAGTTTCCTGTCCAGAGAAGGAAAGAGTAGGTGGCACTGGTGGCAGAATTCACAGGGTCTCAAGCATCTCTGCTCACAGAGGCCTAGGGAACAAAGTGAATGGCTTTTTTTTTGTTTTGTTTTGTTTTTAAATTCTAATTTGTTATAAATGACAGCAGAATGCTTTTAGATTCATAATACACACACAGAGCACAATTTTTCATGTCTCTGGTTGTTCACAAAGTAGAGTCAACCATCTGTGTCTTCATATAGGTACCTAGGATGACGATGTCCATCTCAGGGAATGGCTCTTTTTACTTTGGCTTTCAGCTGGCCAGTCATGCCAGGTAAGAAGACTGCCTTAACCCAGCGCTTCCAAGTCCTCCACGCAAAACCTGCTCCTCCCAGGGCAGTGCTTCCTTAGTCTCCAGTTTATCATCTCAAACAAACACCAACCCAGCTCTGAAAATGTCAGGAAAATGGTTCTGCTTCCTTTAAGAAACAGATAAACAAAGGCTCAGTGGCCACTTAGTGCTTATTGCAGAGGATCCAGCAAATCCAGTGTAGACATTTCTAAGCTGTCAAAATGCAAATGGCATATTAAGTACTCTATGCTCTGCTGAATTCTAAATGTGCCTCTGGTAGTTTTTTTTTATGTTTTCTTTTTCTATTTTTTTTTTTTTTTTGGACTCTGAACTCACAGTGAAATTAAAGTGCTCTAACTGGCATGCATGCAACGTAAGCTACACGTTCCCTTTGGCCTTTTATACTTATTCTGCTTGAGTACATTTCACTCTATGGGGTAATTAACAAGTTGCATGGATAGTCCTGACACATACATGGTGGTGATGTTGTGTTATTTATTTGCATTATACTTGGTAACTAACAGATCAGAGGGGGGTACTGAGAAAAGGTGTGGATGTCCTGCGGTCCCGTTATTGCATTACTTGTACCTTTAAGTGAGGTGTACATGTTGAAGGCCTGTTGGCCCTTAGGCCCATTGAGTAGAAATTTGGTCTTTGAGATTTGCAGAGGTAATGATGGACTCAACCCAGTTTGATTCTGTGGTTTGGCTACTATAACTACCAGTGGCAGATATTTTGAACCAGGAGGACCGATGTGGGTATGCAACCTGAGGCAAAGAAGCAGAGGTCTCCATTATCCAGAGATGAATTAGTCCTAAAGGGAATCTCCCCTCCATGCTGCCTTCAGATGCCAGCCATTGTGCTTGGCTCACTG